TCATCGCCAACCCAAAGTTTGTGTCTGGAGAGTTCTCTGTTACCCACGATTTTGTCTTTTCTTTTTTATTTTGTAAGACAATACACTTTCCATTCTAATGTTATTTTTAAGAGTAAAAATGTCCAGGAGCAGGCGGAATTAAAAAACAAAATATTGGCCGGGTGCAGGGGCTCATGCCTGTAATCCCAGTACTTTGGGAGGCTGAGGCTGGAGGATTGCTTCAGTCCAGGAGTTCGAGACCAGCCTGGGTAACATAGCAAGATCTCATCTCTACAATTTTTTTTTTTCTTTTAATTAGCTATGCATGGTGGTGCATGCTTGTAGTCCCAGCTACTCAGGAAGTTGAGGTGGGAGGACCGCCTGAGCCTGGGATATAGAGGCTGCTGTGAACCATGATCACCACGATCATGCCACTGCACTCAGCCTGGTTGACAGACTCAAAAAAAAAACCAAACTTTTATAGAAAGAAAATCTGAGAATGAGATGACATGAAGAAGTGAAAAAACAAACCAAAAAAAGCAGCCTTGTGACGTAGCTGAGTTGCTGAGGCCTAGCAGGTGTGTGGCCCTGTGGGAAGAAGCATCTAACCTGATGATTGCAGCTGGCCCAGGACTCCTTTAGGAACCAGAAAAAGCCCCTATGAGCTGCAGGAAGTGAAGAAGATGATGATGGGATGGTGGTGGTGTCAAAGACCTTCCTTAGCGATTGACCCTACAGAGCGAGCCCTCGGTCCCAGCCTGGATACCTTGGGGCTCCAGCTGGGGTCTGGGGAAAGGGCCAGCTCCAAAGAAACCCCCCTGCTGTACCCCCATGTGAGTCCAGCCCAGAAGTGCACAGGAACGGCCCCTTCCTCTGCGCCTCGCAGACAGACCCCGCACGTGCGTTGGGCAGGTGCTAAGGCTGGTGAAAGGCAGTTGAGAGCCAGTCAGGCGCACTCCTGCTCCGTGGGAGCCATGGGCAAGGGCAGGGCATTTTTTAAAACCAACAGATGATTCTGCAGGAGAACGTAATGTTCTCCTCATGCCTTAGGACACCAACACTCTAGAATACTGAAGGCTTAGCCAGACTCTGACAGTTGGCTACACTAAAATCATACTTGACATTTAATGTTTCACTGTTTAAAAAGTGTACTCCGCCTCCGTTGCAGCCTTTTTTTTTTTTTTTTTTGAGTTGGAGTCTCACTCTATCTACCCAGGCTGGAGGGCAGTGGCCAGTGGCATGCTCACAGTCACTACAGCCTCAACCAGCTGGGCTCAGGCTATCCTTTCACCTCAGTCTTCCCAGTAACTGGAACCATGAGCATGTAGCACCACAACTGGTTAATTTTTTTAAAATTTATCGTAAAAATGAGGTCTCACCAATTTACCCAGATTGGTCTCAAACCCAGGAGCTCAGGTAAACCTCTCGTTTCTGCCTCCCAAAATGCTGGGATTAGAGGCATGAGCCAACATGCCTGGCTGCCTTTGATTCTTAGGACAATCCTGTGGTGTAGGACAGAGGGGTTCTTGAACTCCAGAAAGACTAGGATTTTTTCTTCTTTCTAGAATTGATAACACCAACAACCACTGGGTAGGGTTGTCGGTTGGACTGAGTTGAATGATGTGACACATCAGCGTCCACATACGAGCAGAGAAAAACAGGGTCAGAATGACGTGAGTCCTCTTGGGACTTTGGATAGAATTTCTTTTGAATAAAGTGTAAAAGAAGGCCAGGCTCGGTGGCTCAGCCTGTAATCCCAGCATTTTGGGAGATCAAAGCAAGTGGATTGCCTGAGCCCATGGCTTCAAGACTAGACCAGGCAATTTGGTGAGACCTCGTCTCTACAATATATCAAGAATTAACCAGGCACGGTAGCGCACACCTGTAGTTCCAGCTACTTGGAAGGCTGAGGCAGAAGGATTACCAGAGCCCTGCAGGTCGACGCTGTGGAGGCCTTGAGCGAGCCATGGCACTCCACCCTGGGCAACCGAGTGACTCCAACTCAAAAAAAAAAAAAAAAAAAGTGTGAAAGAAAATCCATCTACCAGTGACAAAACCTAACCAGGGGTTTACCTCCGGGGTGGCTCAATGCCCCGCAGGCATTCAGGAAGCCCTGGCCCTTCCCCATTGGGGACTACGGAAGCGTATCTCCCTCTGGAAGAGCAGTTCGCCATCACTCCTCTAGGGCACCACTGCCCAGGGCTCAGGATCTTGGTCACCACTGCCCAGGGCTCAGGATCTTGGTCGCTGGGGGGGCCGAGGGCTCCTGCCCCGCACAAGCCTGGCAGGTGCTACCACGGGAAGTGTCAGTCAAGGGAGTCAAGCTCTGGCAGCAAGAGACCCAGTCTCCTTCCTGACTCTCCAAGTGATGCTGGGTGAGCCACATGGGCTCTCCGATCTGCAGCTGGAGTCCTTAAGGTGGGAGAGAACCCAGGCTCAGAGGAGACACAGTCAAGCCAGCCGCCACACACCTCCCGGCCAGCTCCAGGTCGCTTCTCAAGTCCTGCCCCTTTGTATCCCACTTTGTCTGTTTGCCATCCCCTCAACTTCCTGCGAGATAGAGAGCAGGTTTGTTCAGCCTAGGAAAGAAGCTGGCAGATAGAGGGGGTGGAGGCTTTTAAAATGTTATCAAAAAAGCTAGTCATTCAGGCCCAAGGTTTCGATAAAGCTGGTTCCTGAGGACCCCACCCAAACACTGTAGAGAAATAAATCTTCACTGCAATGCTGCTGGGGCAGGGGCGGGGGTCCGATAAGACTTGGCTTTCTCTTAGAAATGTCTACCTGGAAACACCTTTTCCTGCTACCCCGAGGGCACAGAAACTTGAAGAGCCTATCTCTTCCACTATCTCCCTTCCTGTAGATAGCCAGAAAATTCCAGGGAGCTCATTTTCAGGTAGAGGCCACTGGCAAGGCACCAGGCTGGCCTGGAAAGGTCAGCAGATGCTCTCCATTCAGAAGTGATCTTTCTTTTTTTTTTTTTTGAGTTGGAGTCTCACTCTGTCACCCAGACTGGAGTGCAGTGACCGCTCCCGGCCACCGCAGCCTCGACCTGCTGGGCTCCGGCGATCCTTCCGCCTCAGCCTTCCGAGTTGCCGGAATTACAGGCGCGTGCTACCACACCCGGCTGATTTTTTGATTTATTGTAGAGATGAGGTCTTGCTGCCCAGGCGGGTCTCGAACCCGTGGGCTCATGCAATCCACTCACCTCAGCCTCCCAAAGGCGCGGGATTACAGGCTGAGCCACCGAGCCCGGCTCAGAAGTGATCTTTCAATCAGCAAACTGTGACATATCCATATAACAGGGTTCCAGTTTTTCTTCCTACCAAAAGTGTGTTTTACGGATAGCTCAGATTCACCCACCCCTAGCTCGTCCACAACGGCTCTGCCCCCGAATCTCCACTTAACCTTGTTCGAGTCAGAGATCAGTAGCGGTCCTCGAGGCCCTTCCTCTCACCCCACGTGGGCATCCGCCACTGTCACCCGCCCCTACCTAGCCCCCTACCCAGCAGCTCCTCCAGTCGGCCCGCTCCCTGAAAGGTCCCTGCTGAACAGAGTGAGCTCCAGGAGTTTCTGTCTCCGAGTCAAGGCCAGGATGTTGACAACTGCCCGGGGCTCTGGTTCTCTTGAGTCCCCCACTCCCCAGCTGCCCCCTGGCCTCCTCTGAGCCCTGGCACGCTCCCACCCCAGGACCTTGGCACTTCCTGTTTCTTCTGCCCGACTGACTCCTCAGACACCTGTGGGCTTCTTCCCCGCAGAGCTCCTCGGACCTCCCCCAAGACGTCTTCACGGAGAGCCCTTCTCCATCCTCGTGCAGAAGACCCCGTCATGGCCTTTGTACCTCGCGTCACTTTCCCTCCTAGGACACAGGAATTTTAAAATTTACTTTCGTCTCTCAGTTTGAGCTCCTAAGACAAAGGCAGCTTCAGTCCCAGCACTAGCAACAGAGTCTGGCACGTGGTAGGTTCTGAGGGCTGAAGACCGCGCCGGCTCAACCTTCCGCTTTCTCAGGGCCGCCCCTGCCCCCTCCCATTCCTCCCTTGGCCTCCCCTGCTTGGTGTTCTCCCCATCATCGTTCCCGGTGCTGTCATGTGCAATTACACACCTGTATGTCTAGAGGTTAGCATCTGCCTTGCCTTCCACCAGGACAGCCGGCTGTAGCCTCAGACCAGTCCCAGGTAGGTCCCTCCCACATAGGACAATGGTTGCAGTGGCTCCCGAGCACCCCCATGGCCGCTGCCACAGAAGAGTACCAGCGGCTCCGGAGGCCCTTGGACTGAGCCACATCACTGACCGAGCTCACCTGGGTCATGCAGTCAGGGGCACAGAAGGCTCTGACTGGCTGGACCTGGGTCACGTGCCCATGCAGTGGGACCTGGGGGGCTCACAGCAAGTGTTGAGCACTATTACCTGAGGAAGGAAAACGGACCTTGGGCCAACCTTGAGAAGTTTTCAATTCCATCTGATGACTGTATCCACAATGGACAGGGAGGAACTGGTGTATAAAAATTCACCACCACAGCCGATTTCACTGGTATTTTTTAAGTAGCACATTAAAAATACAGTCCATAAACGGGAGGAGGCTGGACATGGCAGCTCACACCTGTAATCTCAGCACTTTGGGAGGCTGAGGGGAGAGGACTACTTGAGACAAGGCTGGGCAACATAGTGAGACTCTACCTCTGCAAAAAATTTTAAAAACTAGCCAGGTGTGGTGTGGTGGCACATGCCTGTAGTCCCATCTACTTGAGAGGCTGAGGTGGGAAGATCACTTGAACCCAGCAATTCAAGGCAGCAGTGAGCTATGGTCATACCACTGCCTGGGCGACAGAGTGAGAGCCTATTCCTAAAAAAACAAAAAACAAACAAGAACGATAAATGGGAGGCAACAGCCGTCCCTCAAGCTTTGCTTGTGACTGCCCCCTTTGCTGTGTGGAACACCTTCCCTTGGGGCCGTCGCGGGCTGTACAGAATGCTGGTCATGAAACTGGTTTCACAGAGAAATGAGACACAAGAACGAACAATCATAGTTTGCTAAATGACCTGTTTATTGTGCAAACAAGGCTCAGAAATGTACAGACACAACCTGTGAGTGGAGAAGCCCCTGGCAGCTGCTACGCTACAACCACACTTCACAGCAGCAGCGGCAAGGCGGCCTCTTGAGTGACCACCACTCCTGCATGGACAGCGAGCATGGCGCCAACGGACACTTCCCTGCCGGGTGGTGCATTCCCTACTCTAGTCTTTAAGGATCAGTGGGGCCTTCACTTGTGCTGCCACCTCTTTGCCACACAGGGCCTCGACGATGGCCAGCGCAAACTCGAAGCTGGTCCCGGGCCCACGGCTGGTGAGGATCAGGCCGTCCTTCTCCACGCGGTTCTCGGAGTAGGTATAGTGACCTGCGAGATGGAAACAAGAGGGTCACGGCCTAGTGGACTGCAACCTGGCAGCTCATACACTGTGATAGCACAGCACTGGTCTCGGGGCGTTTTAAGAAAACCTGGCACTGCAGCCATTCAAAAACATGCACGAGGCTCACCAAGCTCTCAGCAGCACCTTGTGAAGATATGACAACAAAGAGTTAGGGAAACCTGTTAAAATGACGCATAAATCCGGGCAGGGTAGCTCATGCCTGTAATCCCAACAATTAGGGAGACCAAGGCGAGAGAACTGCTTGAGTCCAGAAATTCAAGACCAGTCTGGACAACACAGCAAGACCCTGTGTCTACCAAAAATAAAAATAAAAATAATCCAGCCATGGTGGCACTCGCCTGTAGTCCCAGCTACTCAGAAGGCTGAGACGGAAGGATGGCCTGAGCCCAGGAGGTTGAGGCTGCAGTGAGCTGTCATTTCACCACTGCTCTCCAGCATGGGTGACAGACTGAGTCCTTTAATCAAAAACAAAGCAAAACAAAAATAAAATGACACAAACACGGATGAATTCAATTCAGCTGCTTAACTTTAAAGTGTTAGGCAGACGTCAGAGTGAATGAGAACAACCATACATGTTTGCTTCACAACAAACGCGCTGAAGGCAGGGGCCACCATATGAGCACATGCAGCGCACACCCCCTGCCACCTCAAGACAGTCCCAGCACCGCGGCATAGGGCAGGGGTGCAGGCAGAAGCTCACTCCTCAGGGACAACTTGCCTCCTGCATCCCCCTCCCCCAGCTAGTCCCAAAGCTGGAATTCCCCTGGCTCTGCCCTCTGCAAGGCCATCACCTGCCTCCCCAGCTGGCCCACACCCCAACCTGAGCTCTCTGTGATATGACAGGTTCTTTCTCAAGGGCTGCGCCCTGGCCCGGGCCCTCCCCGCTGCCCCCTCCCTTCCAGTCCCAGTCTCAGCCCCTCTGAAAGGTACTCATGCCCTCTTAGGCCCCTCTGTCCACACCATTGCTGAAGCCCTTATCTTCCTCCCTGCACTGACACGATCCATACATGATTTGCCTCCTTGTCTGCTGTGGACTCTTTGATAGAGCTGGGCCTTCACCTAACCCCGTGAGGCCGACACTATCGATGGCACTAAGGCGGTGGCCCTCAGGTGTGAGCTGAACGAACAAACCATTCCTGACTCAACCTCTCCTTTCCACGCCTACCCACTGCCCTGAGGAAGCATTTCTCATTTTTATAGCCTCCCTTGTGGTTCTGCACCCCCAGTTCAAGCTCACCCCAAAAGCCAACTTCCCAGAGCATACAGCCAAGGTCTCCAATTACCCTGCCCAATCCCCATGCCTGGAGATTACTCTGAACTCCATTCGCAGTGCTCACAGGCCCCTGGGTTCTGGCCTTCACGCAGATGGGAATGGAACCAAAAGGGAGGCAGGAAGAAACCTGCTGGCTAGGAGGCAGGGCGTGGGGCTGGTGGTGCCGAACTGGGCTGGTGAGCGCGGTGACCAAGAACTTGGAGACTGGAAATGCATCTTAGAATCAAAGTGCCCAGGACCTGGTGAGGGATGGGACGTGGGCAGGCTTCAAGGATGACACCGGCTGTCGTGGCAGGAGACAGGGTGATGGGGACACCACTTAGTCGTGTGGGGACACAGGATGGATTGAGGGCTGGGGCTTCTGCTGACAAAATTCCTCATGCAATCTTGCCATTTCCAGCCGGGCCGCAGGCTCATGTCCTGACCCCGCCCAACGCAGTGCCCACGGTCAGAACCCTGAGGCCTGGCACCCCCGTGCCTGCTCCTGCTCCCAGTCCCCGGCGCCAGCAAGGAGCTCAGGAAACACCTGTTCGATGGACACAAATAAACCTGTCCAGCCGCCTCCCCTATGGCAGCAGCAATGTGCCAACACTGCGGTCATTTCCTTCCAGAGTGGATCAGCAACACCCACAGGACCTCAGGTCTCAGTGTCACACTAAAAGTCACCCACTGAGACACCCGAGTACAGGACACCACACATCTCACATTTATACTAGCAGAGAGACAAAGAGGGTCCCTAGTCTGGGGGGGAAGGCTTTTGTCACCCAGCCTTATGTGCTGATGGTCAACCAGGTCAGGTAGATTTTAAGCTCCAGCTTGGAGAAACAGCCAGGGGTCTCCTGAGCTGCCGGAACACTGCCTACCGAGTCTGGGACCAGCAAGGTGACCGTGAGGCTCACGCAACACCACCCCTGTGGCAAAATGTCACTAACAGGGTTTACGCTGGCTATTCATGCTCAGAAGTCCTATGGCTCTTTTCAGAATTTCAACCAGGACAAGCAAAAGGCTTGTATCTGTCAACTGCACCACCTAGTGGTGTCCACGAAGAAACACAAGCAGACGTGGGTGGGGAGCAGAGTAAAGGGCAGGGGGGAAGGGTATGGGGGGAGAATCAGGAGAAAGGGTGTGGGAGGTGAGGAGAATGGTACTGGGTAGGACGCAGTGGGGAGAGTGCAGGAGAAAGGGGAGGGGGGAAAGGTGTTGGGGGAGGGGACAGGAGGGAGGGCGCAGGGTGCCTGTGCAAACTCCCAGCTGGGCTTCTGAACCTGGGTGAAGTTACGCATTTTTTTTTTGGGTTGGAGTCTCACTCTGTCACCCAGACTGGAGTGCAGCGGCCGCTCCCGGCCACCGCCGCCTTGACCTGCTGGGCTCCAGTGATCCTTCTCTCTCAGCCTTCCAAGTAGACGGAACTACAGGCGCGCGCTACCACACCCGGCTAAGTTTTTGAATTATTGTAGAGACGAGGTCTCGCCAAGTTGCCCAGGCAGGTCTCGAACCCGCAGGCTCAGGCAATCCACTAGCCTCGGCCTCCCAAAGTGCTGGGATTACAGGCTGAGCCACCGAGCCTGGCTGAAGTTACACACTTTATACCTCACATTCACACCGGCAGCAGGCATTTTTTAACTTTAAGCAAAGACACCAAAGTCAGGGAGTCTCTTGGGGGCTCAGGACCCAGGTCGGCAGCTGAAGGTCTGGGGCCACGTCCAGGCTGCTGTTTCTGCAAGTCAAGTCCTACAGGTACAGTCATGGCTATTGAAGCTATATGCAGCTGGGTGGCCACCTGGGACCTGAGTCCAGAAAACCTGTCAGCAGGCTCCTGAGCACAGCTGCTCTGGGGTCAAATCCCAGGCCTGTCATTCAGTAGCTACCTGACCTATCAAATGGGAATGATACCAACCTAACAAGCAGTGCTACAGAGTAGTGTTACCAACACAGATGGGAGCTGGGTGAGGGCAGCCTTGTACCAATAATCCTGGAGCAGGTGCAGCTGAGGCTCAGAGAGACTAAGGAGCCTGCCCACGGTGAGCAGGGGGCCACTCCCACGACATCAGGCTCTGGAGACCCTGCATTTCAGGCTCAGCTCTGTGACCCATCAGATGCTTCCAAAAACAGCCAATTAAAACAGAAGACATCACAGTTAGAACTTACTTAGCCTAAAACCTGAGGAACTTTTAAAAAGACTGTGCTCTTCAGATTGGATTGCTTGTCTGAGATTTCATCTCCATCTCTAAGTTCATGACAAGGACAAGAAGGGCTTTGCAGAGCAGACTCCGGTGATGATCACAGTCCCAACTGCCAGAATATGCAGAAATTACACACATCTTTTTTTCTTTTTCTTTTTGATTGGAGACTCACTCTGTTGCCCAGGCTGGAGTCCAGTAGCATGCTCACGGCCACCACAGCCTCAACCTGCTGGGCTCAAGCGATCTTTCTGCCTCAGCCTTCCAGTAGCTGGAACCACAGGTGCAGGTTATCACACCTGGCTAATTTTTTGACTTACTGTAGAGATGAAGTCTCATCAAATTGCCCAGGCTAGTCTTGAACCCCTGGGCTCGGGAATCCTCTCGCCTCCACCTCCTAAAGTGGTGGGATAACAGGCATGAGCCACTGCGCCCAGCTACATTTTTTTCTCATAATAGGACTAACTGACTAAATTCAACATCTGGTAACTTAAGTTTGTGTGGGGGCCTCACTACAGCAGAGAAGGGGATGGACAGACAGAACTGGACACAAGACAGTGGGCTGGGTTGAACTTGGGCCTCCCCCTCTGATCTCAGTCTTGTCACCTGTGAACTTGGATGTGACACAGCCTTACCGGGCACCGGGCCAGGAGGGTCCCCAAGAGAACACAGGTGAGCATGCTTTGTAAATTCCAAGGCTACGAGCACTGGTGGCCTGGTCTTTTTCTACTCCTGATCACCCTAACTGCTCACTGTCTCTGAGGTGTTAAAACAGGCACAACAGCCACCCACAGATGATGGGGATGGGGGGTGGGGTGAGAGGGTGGGGTGGTGGTGGCGGGGGTGGGAGGGCTGGGTGGTCTACCTGCATCCTCCTTCTGAGTGTGTCATGAAGGGAGCCTAGCTCTGTTCTTTCCAACCCTCTAAAATCTCTCTATTAGCTCAAAGTAAATTAAATTCCTGTACTGAGAAGGCCCAGAAGCCAGAACTTTTTTTTAAAAAAATCCATTTTCATGAAGATAGTTTTAATGACAACCTAATTTTTTTCCCCCCTGAGCTGGAGTCTTACTCTGTCACCCAGGCTGGAGTGCAGTGGCACACACGGCCACCCCAGCGTCAACCTGTTGGGCCCTGGCGATCCTTCTGCCTCAGCCTTCCAAGTAGCCAGAACTACAGGCATGCACTATCACACCCGGCTAATTTTTAATTTATTGTAGAGACAAGGTCTCACCAAGATGCCTGGGCTGGTCTCGAACCCACAGGCTCAGGCAACTTACTCGCCTCGGCCTCCCAAAGTGCTGGGATTACAGGCTGAGCCACCAAGCCCAGCCAACATAATATCTTTCTAGCAATTAAAATAAAATTTTATATTTTCAAGAAAACACTACTTGGGATCAAATGCAAGTATGTGCAGAATGCACAACACCAAGAGAGAACCCTGATGTGCCCACAGACTGTGTGACAGTGACACAGGAAATACAGGTAAGTGCACTGACCACAACAAACGCGCCCCATACAGAATGGTGACATGAGGAGGCTATACTGGGGGGATGGGAACTCTGTACTTTCTGCTCAGTTTTGCTGTGAACCTAAACCTGCTCCAAAAAATAAAGTTTATTAATTTAAAAAAGACTACAAAATGTAATGAAAAATGTCCCACAACATTAAGGGAGCTCTAGATGTGCTTCCTGCAGCATTCAAGGATGGTGTGATGGCATGGTTTAAGGGCAAGGCAGAAAAGCAGCTCTGCATCCATCCCCACAAGAGTGCTGACTGCACATGATGCATTCTAACCCAGGACCCACAACAGCACTGCATGAGACACAGCAAATCTGAATCTACGAGTACCGGGAAAACAGCACAACATACAACATTCACCAAAAAAGTCAATGGCAGGCAGTACACTAAGGAGATCTCATTAATTACCCAAGCAACTTTTAACAGAGTGACCTCTGAGAAACAGGGAGGGGTGCAGAAAAGAAAGGATACTTGACTCGGCTCACTTTATCCCTCATCTCTACTATCTGCCTTTTTAAAAATTTTTTTTGAGTTGGGATCTCACTCTGTCACTCTGGCTGGAGTGCATGGCCCAATCACGGCTCACCACAGCCTCAACCTCCTGGGCTCAGGTGATCCTCCTGCCTCAGCCTCCCATACTGCCACCACGCCAGGCCAATTGTTCTATTTTTTTTGTAGAGATGAGGTCTTGCTGTGTTGCCCAGGCTGGTATTGTTTACAATTTTTACGATGAACAGAAATTGCTTTCACAAAAATAGATTAATAAAAATGAAATGTCTAGCTGATCTTTAAAAAGAAACATGCTACAAAGAAACAAGTCTGCCACTGAGGTGTTCTCTGAGTGAAGAAAGCAATGTCCATTTTACTTTGGACAAAGGGGAAAAGGGTACTTTCTGAAATTGCTGCCGAGGTTTAAAATTTACCCTCTGGGAGTTGGCTAAGTAGTTAGTAAAAATACTAGCTGAACTGGCATGTCACAATTATTTCCACCTGCGATGGTCAGGATCTAGCTGGCTTCTGGTGTGGCCCACATGCCCGTCACAGTGTACAAGGAGACTAGCGAGCCTGTCATGACTCACATGGAGGTCGGTGAACCCCCAACATGGCGCAGGTGGAGGTTGGCAAGGCAGCCCTCACAGTGCCCGTGGAGTCTGGCAAAACCCTCATCATCGCGCAAGCAGAGGCCGGCAAACACCCATCATGGCTCACATGGAGGCTGGCAAGCCCCTGTCACGGCACAGGCAGAGGTTGGTGAGCAGTGTATGTGTGTATTATGTAACTACATCTTCCTTGGAGTTGTGTTGAAAAATGAAAGGTTAGTTAGGACCAAGTCTTAAGGTCTGCTGAAGCTAAAAGCGTCTAGACTGGATCACAGGCACATGGAGGCCAGCAGGTCCCACCTACAGCCAGGGAAGGCAGAACATGCAAAGTCCTAGCAGCCTCAGCCCACAGAGATGTGCTCTGTGTTGGGTCACACTGGCTAGGGAACAACCCTGAACTACAGCTTGTTTCTGAGACCCTTTTTGTCCATTAAAATACAAGCACATACTTACTTCCATTCATCATCTTGTCCTTAGCAAGTGGGTGTGTTGTAACTTTGCTTTCAAAACCTATTTCATGAGCCAACAGAGCAGTAGGACCTGAAAATAAGATGAATAAAAAGATCTAAGTGCGTACACAGCAAAACTCATGTTTTAAAAACTGCAACAGCAAGCAGATTCTTCAAAATCAAAGTTCTTACCCAAAACATTGCTGAGATTCTGAAATTAAACACTGCTTAGCATAAGAGGTAAAGTTCACTTACAACAAACCATTTGTTGAGCACATCTGGCAAAAGCATACAAACTCAAAATACACCAACAACCTCCTAGTCAAAAGGATGTACCTTGATACCAGAAGAGCACACACACATAAACAAAATGTGCTCACCCCGCCCACCCCCAGAATAGGAACAAGACGTACCAGGGGATGGGAGCCTCAGGGTGGGGCATACTTCTGACCTTACTCTCAGCAAAAGCAAAGATTAGTGACATGTCAAAGGCAAGCAGGACTCTGTGAACTTTGTCTTATTGCTATTTTATAATTTTATTTTCTACTTGAAAACAAAAAATGGAAAATTAACACTCATTCATGCATCCATCCACGCATCCAAATATATGGGTGGTGGGATTGTTAAATGGATGGGAGACTCTGTGAAATGCCCAGAATCTGAGATACAAGGCACCAGCATCACTCGATCATGACAACTTGAGCAAAGAACCACGCCCAAATGTCACTGCAGGACATTCCACGCCTTGCTTCTTAAAATGAAGCCTTTGAAAATGGGCAGGTACTAACTTGAGATTTTTATCCAAATGTCTTCACTGAAAATGGTCAGTTTCAGTGATAATCACAGCACATTTTGTATGTAATGGCCTTCAAATAAGAATTAAAACCAAAAAAGGTTATATCTTTGTTATTTTATCTTAAAACTTTTTACAAAGTACTTATTTTACCTTTTTTTCCTCTAAGTCACAAATTCAAAATTTTCTAAGGCTTCACGTCACACTTAGGATAGCACCCTAATCTAAATGCTTATGGCAGTGGACGTGGCTATAAGCCTGTGATCCAGTCTGGACGCTTTTAGCTTCAGCAGACCTGAAGACTTGGTCCTAACTAACCTTTCATTTTTCAACACAACTCCAAGGAAGATGTAGTTACATAATACACACATACACTACTCAGACCAGAGTGTTACAAGCAGGAAGATCACACAAACCACCTAATTACATAAGGTTTTTGCCTAGTATCAGGAGTCAGTTTCAGACCAGGTCCTGACTACCAGCTCTTAAACCAAAATTTCAAATAAGTCCCCTCCACATTACTTCTATCCTACGTACAAGGCAGCTATTATGGCAGCAAATTTTAGGTCTGCAAAAATGGAATAACTACCACTGTTTTTACTCGGTAAGATTTTCAAGCAGTAAGAAATTCCTATACAATCTTATATTTCAAAGTAAACTGTGACAGACAACCTTCCAGTGAGGAGGGCAGTCAGCAGCCAGTGAGGATGCTGAGACTGCTCCCTTCAAGGTGACAAAATTGCTGCCTACAATGACGTCTCACCCACATGACAGGTGGATGCAGGAATTTGTTGATGTCTTACTCATCACGGTATCTCATCATTCCCGCTTCTGGGGCTTAAGAGCCCTACTAGGAAATTAGACAACCAGTACTATACGCTATTATTGAGATGTCAGTGCCGTTGCATCTGCACTACAGAGGAAGAAGCCAACCAAATCGCCTTCCGCAGCAAGAGGCCAAGACCAACGGCTCCACCCTGTGGAGCTTGCAGAGACAGCACCCGGGCCAGACACCAGAGGCCACTGGTGCCCCAGACCTAGACCCCACATCTCACCTGGCAGCTGTCCACTCCTTCACCTCTGTGCTTGCTTCCCCTCTCCCCACTCAAAGTTAATCTCATTTAATTTTCTTCTCAAGATAGTCTTCCAATTTCTAATTCACGCAACATTAAGAGCTAAGCTAATATTCCTTCTGTTCAAAAAAGTTTCCAGTTCCAAACTGCAACACTTCAGAACAATCACCGTATTTTCCTGTTTGCCAACTTTAAAAATCTAAACGTCTTCCATCATTCCTGTCCTGATCCCATCACCTGGCATCTCAACTCAGCTCAAGATCACACCTTCTCCTGTTTTTTGCACAACACCCAGAACAGCAGTGCAGGACACTCAGTAGTATAAACACGTTGCTAGGCTGCTGCTTATTTTTTAATGTCAATTCAAACTACTGCAAGGTCCAAGCTTCTGGGTAGATAGCATGCATGCCAGCCTGAGTGCTGAGCGGTGAACCAGATGTGGCTGACTGGTGCTGCCTTCAGGGCACAGCAGTGATATGTGTTCCTTACTTTAAGCAAAGCCACAAGGGAGCAAACCCAGCCCTAACCCTTCCTTCCTTCCTTTGGTCAAAGACCTAAGAACAAGGCTAGGTTCACGGCAGCAAACTCGTCAGAGAAAGCCAAAGGAACAGGACCACCTTCTCCCCAAAGAGGGGTGCAACTGCTTGGGCTGCAGTGCTGACTGCAGCACCCTTCAGCAGAGACAAACTCCCTGAGCCTCAGGGCAGGTCAAGAGGCTGGTGGGGACTCCTGCGGTGAGCCCAAGTTCAGGGCCTGCCAGGGTGGTCACCACATGGTCCTTCCCAGTTCCTCACACTACAGTTCTCAAATATGTGGGTCTCAGGATCCCCTTAGCTGTTATGTGCATTACATCCAACAATACCTACCATATTACAAACTAAGACTGAGAACTTTCTGAAACACAAGAACACATGCGCACATGCCATGCCCGCATGACAGCAGCATTGCACTCTGATGCCACTCCTTCACGGAGAACAAGGAAAAAGGCAAATAACATTTTAGCAGCGTCTGCGTCGACTGTACAAACTCCTGAAAAAACTTAAAATCCCTAGGATCTCTGACCCAAAATTTTTTTTAAGAGATGGGTATCAGGCATCGTGGCTTACTCCTGTAGCCCCAACACTTTGGAAGGCTGGAGCAGGAGGATCACTTGAGGCCAGGAGTTGGAGACCAGTCTGGGCAACACAGTAAGACCTCCATCTCTAAAGAAAAATAAATGTAAAAGAATAAAAATTTAAAAAGAGATGGGGCCGGGCTCGGTGGCTCAGCCTGTAATCCCGCGCCTTTGGGAGGCTGAGCTGAGTGGATTGCCTGAGCCCGTGGGTTCGAGACCCTCCTGGGCAACTTGGCGAGACCTCATCTCTACAATAAATAAAAAACTAGCCGGGCGTGGTAGCGCGCGCCTGTAGTTCCAGCTACTTGGAAGGCTGAGGTGGAAGGATCGCCGGAGCCCCGCAGGTCAAGGCTGAGGTGGCCGGAAGTGGCCACTGTACTCCAGTCTGGGCAACAGAGTGAGACTCCAAATAAAAAAATAAATAAATAAAAAATAAAAAAGAGATGGGATCTGGCCATGTTGCCAAGGCTGGATTCAAGCTCCTGGGCTTCAGTGATCCATCTACCTTGGCCTTCCAAGTAGCTGGGACTACAGGCATGCACCACAGCACCCTATAACTTCTTTTAAAAGTCTATTGTATAGAACAAGATATCAAACCATCCATTCATTCATTAGTTTATTCATTCTCTTGCCTGATAAGCATTTAATAAAGACTTCCAACAAGGAAGGCACTGGCAAAAAATGACACTATGGAAAAAATGCAATATGGCAGAACACCATCTGCTATTAAAGCAACAAGAACAGATTTTAAAATGGTACAGAAAACAGATTATGACTAAGCTTACAATGACGGGGGATATCTATGAAGCACCGAGTAACCAGATTCCAAATTATGTGGCAGATAGTATGCCGTCCAAGACCACGCAACACTGAGAATCAGAAAATGCCCAGGGAGGCAGGCGGAAAGCACCCCAGGGCTTCTCAGGCTGCAGGGCAAGCGCAGGGCAGAGTTGTTATGTTTACGCCTGACAAGTTCTTGCTGACTGGGTGCTGGCAGGAAGACTTTCTGGCACAGAGATTTGCTGTAACAAGCTGTTTACTGAATTCCAGAGGGCCTGATTTTCCCCCGAGGTCAACCAAACACGGAAAATGCTGAGTTTCACAGAGTGTAGACCAAAGGCGTGGAGAACAGAAATGGAACAATTGTCCTCATGTCTGCAATGACACCAACTCATGCCACCCAAGCTAAACATAACAACACAGAAGCCCTTGATGTTGTAGGAAGGGGAGGAACTATCTGGAAGAAAAGCCTCCCGTGAAGGTCCCGTCCCCAGGACACCCCCGGGCACGCGCCCTTACCTGCGCAGATGGCCGCTATGAGCCCCTTCCTGCTCTCTTGCTCCTTGAGGACCTCCTTCACGGCTGCAGACTGGGTGAAGAAATCCAGAAACGCGCCAAGTTATCACGAAGCCACAAACCAGCCTCTTGCTAGGAAACTGGCAGAATCTGACTTTAGCTCAAACCACAAGATCTTTGGTCTATTTTCTAATGACATCTCAAAATCATTAATATAAAATGATCAAATTCAAATCGAAAATGTGTCTATATTCTTGAACCCAGGCAAGGCATTATCATAAGAGAAAGGCATTCCTCCATGTTTAAAGATATGGGGAGAGAAGTAACTTCCCTGGGCACACTTGGCCTGGGACCCTTGCCACCTGCGCTCCCAGGAGGACACAAAGGGGAGGGGGTAGCGTTTCGGGTGTTTTCAGACGGCAGAGAGGGCAGACTCGAGCAGGTCTGTCTCACCCACTTCACGCGTATTTCCACCTGTGTGACCCATGCCCGCTGGCCCCTCATGCTCCCACCTAAAATGAACGCCAGTGGCTTCTACTGATAGTATCTGTCATGCTTGGCAGCTCCAGCCTCTCCCCACCCCACTGCTGAGTGGACAGCTAGCCTCTTATTTTCTATCTTAATCCCTCCCAACACATACAAACAAATCATTCTCCTGCTGCTGGGAGAAACAAGCAAGTCGTTTTATCTTGGATTGTCTTCACTTGCTTCCTTTGTAAATGTTATTAAAAGGAATTTTTTTCAGTTAAGGCTACAACACCATTTTGTTAATTTTTTTGTTTCTGTTTTAGTCACAGCTCTTCCCTGAAATACCCAAATAACAAGAAAATCAACAGTACACAAACAGATGCTGAAATCCTTTCTTGAGAGTTCTAGCCCCCCTCCCCCAGCTTTATTGAGGGATAAGCGAGTAGAGTTTTTACCTCAGACAAATTCTGTGCACCCAGGTTACCTCCTGGAAGAACCACCACATCATATGGTCCCTGTAACAGTTTAAAAAGTCAAAGGAAGTGAAAAAGTGAAAACATTCACTTCCATTGTTCTCCTAAGTGACAGTCCAATAACACTTTCCTATTTTAAATGTGGGACACAAGTGAAACACAGGGGATGGTCCAAGCATCTGCCAGCAGGAGAGCAGTTAAATAAACGAGGGTGTAGCCATGTAATGGAATGTTGCTGGACGTAGCAAAGAACACAGAAAGTCTGTACAGAGAAGCAGGAACGGATGGCCATGTTGCAGAGTGGGAGTGGCAGCATCTCATTCTTGTAAAAAGACCAAAAAAAAGCACATGTGTGTGTGGATGTGTATATGCATGTGGATAAACGCTGCACAAACACTGCCCCACAGCTGTGTGTGTGGCAGTCGCAGGCACAGGAGACTGCAGCTGCTGACCGAGGCGTATGCATGGTGACGGCGACAGGGACAAGGAATGAGAAGGGACACTCCATGTTTCGACTTTGGATCTGCCTACAGTATGTGAATTATTCTTCAATAACAATGCACTTGGTGGTTTTATTTATTTATTTTTTTGAGTTGTCGTCTCAGTCTGTCGCCCAGGCTGGAATGCAGCGGCACGCTCACGACCACCACAACCTCAACCTGCTGGGCTCCGGCAATCCTTCTGTCTCAGCTTTCTAAGTAGCCAGAACTACAGGCATGCGCTACCAAACCAGGAAATTTTTTTTTTCCCAATTGTAGAGACGAGGTCTCACCAAGTTGCCTGGGCTGGTCTGGAACACGCAGCTCAGGCAATCCACTCACCTTGGCCACCCAAAGTGCTGGGATTACAGGCTAAGCCACCAAACCTGGCCCAGGAGTTATAAAAATCAAAAGAAAAGCTAATATTAAGTAAAAGACACAGAAAAAAAATTAACTTAGAACTGGGAGAATATTTGAGTATCCCAAATCTAATTCATTTCAAACTTGCTAAAACGACAAAATGGAAATTGTCTTAATACTTTAAAATGTTGAAAAGAGGTTAAAAATGTAGCATTTAAAAAGAATACAAAATGAACACTTAGTACATATTTAGTGCAACATATACTTTTTAGAATTACTTTTTAAGACCATAAACATCCTACTGCTATTTTAAAACCAAACAACACTCAAAACTAAAAAGTATAGAATTTATTTCACTCCTTTTAGAATCTAAACTGAATGATAAATACACAAGGCAACCACTTCCTCAACTACAAACAGATCTAGCATATGATCCAGCAATCCCACCACTGAGTATTTAACAAAAGGAAAGAAAATGAATATATCATCTGCAACCCCATGTTTATTGCAGCATTATTCACAACCACCAAAGCAAGAAATCAACCCAAGTGTTTAATAACACACAAATGAATAAAGAAAATGAATATACACACAGTGGAATACTATTCAGCCATAAAAAAGGATGAAATTCTGTCATTAATGGCATCATGGATGAACTGGAGGACATTACGTTAAGTGAAATAAGCCAGGAACAGAAAGTTAAACACCACATGCTCTCACGCATATGTGGAAGCTAAACAAAGCTGATCCCATGGAAATAAAAAGTAGAACAGAGGATACGAGAAGCTGGGAAAGCAGGGAGAAGGGAAGCACAGCAAGAGATTTAGTAAGGGATACAGAAGTCCAGCCAGACAGGAGGAGTGTGGCTGGTGCTGCATACCATGCAGAGTCACTACAGTTAATAATATATCGTATCATTTTAAATGGCTAAAAAGAGGATAATAATATGAACCATTATTATGTACAACTAATATGTCCAGAAACTGTCCAACTTAAAAAATAAAAGTTTGTTTTTTTTTAAAGGCAGTGACTGCTCTAAAATACCCAGACACCACAAGACACAAAAAGAACAGAGAGGAGTATTTACTTCAACTTCTCACTTCAGCATACTCTTTACAAAGCTTCAAAAACTTATATGCAAAACACCAATATTCTAACTCTTCACAATCCAGTAACAGCATATTTGAATTTATTAGAAAGGAATAAATTTTCTTTGAAGCATTTGACGACAGCTCAGCGTGGGCAACCACACTGGGTTCTAGGCAGGGCACACCCAGGCATTTGTGGGCCAGCCCTGCCTCCTCTCTTGCCATGACTCCCCTTCCAGAGGGTACAGGGCACACTCCTGTCACCCTGACCCTGTGACAGGGGTGCCAAAGGGTCTGTGGGCAAGCAGGTTTCCAAGGAAAGGGATTTTAGCTCGTGAGAGATTCCCAAAAGTGCCCACTGCCCTTAAAGGCAAGCAAGAACCCCAATTCTAATGATACTGACCAGGTGCTAAGATTTAAGTAGAACACTTGCTCCTCTCTTAATCCAGCCACTAACCAAGTATGAGTGGTTCCACGTCAAGCAAACCACACAACAACATCCATGTCAATGAAGAAGGAAAGGAAAAGGCAGCTTTAGGAAAAAGAACACGAGACAGGTGGGACATGTGGTCACTGGTACTCCTACATCAGGTGGGAGTGTGGAAGAGGAGGTGAGGATGCCTGTGGACCCAGAACACTGACGGGAGAACAATGTGCCCCCAACCCCGCCCCCAGCACAGGTGGTGTCAAGCAGCTGCCAAGTTCCATAGATACTGGGTAGAACAGCAAATCCTCATCTTCCCAATTTAGTTTAGAGGAAAGACATCCAAGCAAAATAATTTCTTGAAACAAGTCCAGGCTTAGATACAGCCAAAGACATTTCAGGAAATAACGAAGCAGCATACGAAGGAATAACTCCGTGCCTGGAGAACAAACCTCTTTTTTTGCATCTTCAAGACTGGCATCAGGACAGATAACAACATCACGGCTGCACTGCACTGGGTCTTTTCCAGTCAGGCCCGCAACAGTGACCTTAATCTACGAGAAAGACATCATCATGACATTTAAGATCACTGAAATGTCAATTTAGAGTAACATTTTCAATTTAGAGTAACAGCTTCCCCATGTTAAAGAAACTTAGCAGGAAATACTGCAACAAAAGCATGCTGAATTTAAGCTAATACACTGGCTAAATATATGTAATAACTAGGTCTGTTCTCGTTTGCCTGGGACAGATATGATTTATAACTGTTGTTCTGGCACCCTGTGCAGTTAGAATGCCCTTTCTCCCCTAACTGCTGGAGTTTGGGTGGTAAGTTATATGATACCCAGGTGCAGTGTCTCACGCCTGTAATCCTAGCACTTTGGGAGGCTAAGGCAAGAGGACTGCCTGAGTCCAGGGGTTTGAGACCAATCTGGGCAACTTGATGAAACCTTGTCTCTACATTAAAAAAAAATTTTTAGCTGGGTGTGGTGGCATGCACCTATAGTCCCAGCTACTTGGAAGGGTGAGGCAGAATCGACTGCCTGAGCCCAGCAGGTCGAGGATGCAGTAGCCATGAGTGTGCAACTAAACTCCAGTCTGAGCGACAGGGAGACTCCGATTCAAAAATTAAAATTAAAATAAAAAATCATCAATCTTGCAAGGTTACTGATGCCACTTGAACATCATGATATTTTCTAAGGTAGGAATCAAGTTAAAACAATGAAATATACTTTATCTTGAAAAACTGTTAACGTTAACAACTCTAAGGGCTGGTACTGGAACGTGGGGATTTTCCTACACTGCTGGTGGGACTACAAATTGGTACACTGGAAAGCAACTTGGCAAAGCCTGCTCTCTGGCCTAGCAATTTCACATTTAGGTATATAACCTGGAAAAAAACTTCTGTACATTTGCACAAGGAAACTTACACGAGAATATTACATAATTTGATTTCTTCCGGGTATATTCCCAGAAGAGAGACTACTAGAGACCCATTTCTTTTTCTTTTTTTTTTTTGAGTCGGAGTCTCACTCTGTCCCCAGGCTGGAGTACAGTGGCACGCTCAGTTTCCACAGACTCGACCTGCTGGGCTCAGGCAATCCTTCTACCTCAGCCTCCCTGGTAGCTGGAACTACAGGCACATGCCACCACGCAGAGCTAATTTATTTACTGCAGAGACGAGGTTTTGCCATGTTGCCCAGGCTGTTCTCAAACCCCTGGGCTCAGGCAATCCTCTTGCCTCAGCCTCCCAAAGTGCTGGGATTAGAGGCCTGAGCCACCACGCCTAGCCTGACTCATTTCAGAAAAAGCAAATGCTTTAAAGAAATATACTTGCAGCACTCTTTGTAGATTTTTCCAAACCTATACCCATTCTCCTTTATTACAGCATTGTGATGCTGTATTTAGAAGAATGGATAGACTGTGGCATGTTCACATAGTGTAACACCAAGCAGCAATTTTAAGTGAATCAACCAGATCAACATGTATCTCTATTTCTTTTTTTTTTTTTTTTTTTTTT